TCCCGACCCGACACGATTTCCGAAAGCCAACACGGTGGGACTTTCATGATGTTGAGAAACAAGGAAAGTACAAGACTAGTGGGCCGTATTAGGGGAATTGGGAATAGGTTGAATGGAAAGAAGAAAAAGAAAAAGGAGAGGTGGATAGAGGTTTGCGTGAATGTGATATTGGGAAGTGCAATAGGTTGAAAAGGAAAAAAGAAAAGAAGAATGAGAAGGATGCGAAATATACTAGTGAAGGCAGAGGTGGATAATAAAAAAGCAAAGAAAGAAAAGAAAAAAGGGGATTGCGATACCCATGTTTTCAGAAAGTCATTGGAGACATTTTTTCGTTAAAAGGAAGTGGCCCGAAGCCACAACATGAAAATTAAAAGGGTGTACTACTCCTTTTATGGATGAGAAACGAAAAAAAGAAAAACTTATTTATCTTATCCATTATTTTTTCTCTTTTCTGATACTCTGGAGGTTATTTTATTCTTATTTTTTACTTTTATCTGTGTGTTTTTTTTTTTTTAATAATTCCATTACTTGCTTTTTCCGTTGTGTGTGCAGAAACCCGGGCTATTCTGCTCACTGACGGTATACATCTCTTGCTAGTACACACAGATGTGTGTGCAGTAATTTGAAACATAAACTAGAGCCATGGGGTATTATGTGTGTTCTTGGAGACTCTCTTTGTGCCTGTGGGGTTGCACTGTGATGATGGTGAAATGCTTTTTGCAGTGGGGATAAGAGAAATAATAGTAATAGCAAATGAATTTATATTTATAATTGCGTATATATACACACACATAGACTTACACCCATAGTTGTTGTATTTCTGTGTTTACTGGGTAAGTTGGGCTAATGATTAATACATGATTCTTTGTTTGCTTGTTGATTTTGCAGGGTCATTCTGTGCTTTGTCCTGCACGGTTTGGTAGTCTGATTTATGCAGAGAAAAGAAAATAATAGTAGTCAATACAATTTGTATTCGTAATTACTTGAGCACTCCAGCATACCCAGTGGTTTGTGAGTTATTTTTGTGCGTTTGGTCCTCTTTTTAATTTGTGTTTTTTTTCGTTTTCTTTGCTTGGGCGCTGTGTGCTTTCTCCTGCATTGTTGTGTGTTGGAGTGTTTTATGGGGATAGAAAAAATGATAAAGAATTCATAAGTATATTTGTAATTGTGCTTGGTTCGACCAGAAGAGTCATTTTTTATTTATTTCTGTGCTGTCTACTTTTGATGGTTGTGCTCTTTAATTTCTTTTATTTTTCTTTTGAGGGGTTTATTGGGATTATCTGTTTGTTTTTGGGTACTGTATGCGTGATTACTTTAGTTTGGGTATTATATGAGTTATGGTTACAGCTTTCTGCAATGTGTGTGCCTCTGCTGTAATTATTGAGTGTTGTTTGATTTGTTGTGTGTTTTCATTTTCATGTTTACATTGATTCACTTTGTTTATATTATTGGGTTTTCTTGTCTGTAAATGATTGAAGTAAGACTACTACAAGAAGTATTGTAATGGTAATGATGCGCTACGTGCTGTGTATCCTCGCTCTCCTGCTCTCCTGTGCGTGTGTGCACGTCCTCGCTGAAGAAGTGCCTGCCGCCGATCTTTCCGACCAAGTCCCTGATACGGAGAGTGAGACAAAGATTCTTCTTCAAGGTATTGAACAAACAGTTAATCAAGATACTCAGTGCACTACTGATGGTGGTTCTGGGTCTAACTGCACTGCTGGCGGTACTCATGTCGTCCTAGAAGAAACTCCTCAGTGCGCTGATGGTACTGTACTTTCTTATGATCGTAAGTCATGTGTGACAAAACCCGAAGTTCCTCCTGCTAAAGTACCTGAGGTACCAAAAAACGTGGATTCTTCTCATCCACGTGGGGAAGAAGGTCTTCTACGTGAGACTACATTGCACACCATGTCTACAGACCCCGGTTCAGAACAAAAAGCGACGGAGAGTGAACCAGCAGTGACACAACCCAGTGAATCTGAGAGTGGTGAATCACATCCAGGTAGGATTTCAGACAGTACGTCGACAACAGAAAGACAAGGAGAAGAGTCTACTGCAGATAAACAAAGTAACGAAGAGGTGTCGAGTAACACAACAGTTAACAGTACACCTGCCGACTCTAATCCTAACCAGCATTCTCCTGAAGCTGCAGGTGCAACTGCCGCACCAGACTCACAAGAAACCAATTCCTCTACTCCACAGAGCACCGAGAGCAATGTCACAGAAGCACCAACCACCACTCCATCACCTGTTCCTGTAACTGATACACAGATCAGCAGCGTCGCTTCCACAGTACAGAAGAACAAGGTCAACGCTGACAGCAGTGTCAGTCCTGTATGGATGCGTACTGCAGCACCGCTGCTGATTGTGGTTGTGTTATTCTCTTTTACTGTGTACTGAACGGTTGGACTCATCTGAGGACAAATAATAATAATGGTTAAACTACCATGATTATAATTGCGTACATCCCCCATGGGTGAATGAATTAATAATCTGTTTACCAGCTTTCTCTTTTAATTGGAATATCTTTTCTTTTACTTTTGTGTGTGTGTTCTTTTTCTAATAATTTCATTACTTGCTTTTCCTGTTAAGTGTGTTTGCAGAAAACTGGGCTGTTCAGCTCACTGAGGGTATACATTTATTCTAAATATAGACATGCGTATGTGTGTGTGCAGCTTTTTTTTCTTTTTAACTGGAATCTTCGGGATTGGGTGTTATCTTTTTTAAATAATTCCATTACTTTTTGTTTCCGTTGTGTGTTTGCAGAATCTTTCGTTGTGCTTACTGACGGTACAATTGTTTTACTGGTACACATGAATATGTGCGTCGTATTATTTTTGTTTTTATTATCGTTATTATTGATATACATTGATTTTTTAATTTGATAAATTTCTTTTTTTGTTCCTTTATATTTTTTATAGGTGGTAGGTATCGCGGGTGGAATTCCTTTCTTTCTTCTTCGTGCGTAATCCTTTTTTTTTCTTTTTAGAATGTTTCGCTGTACACGCCCAGAACAGCACCGTAGCGGAAAAGCTCGTGCTTTTGTGTTCCGTGATCCCACGCTTAAAATGATGCGGGCGGGTAGTGGATATCAACAACTTCGGCGTATGGGAATGCCTGTGCAAGTGGGTTTGGGATGGCGGAAAGTGGATAGTT